TCTAGGAGTACATTATGCTTCCTAGAGCACAGAGTATTATTCTGGAAATCTTAATGAAATATAAATCCTTGCCAGTTGCATCTGGAAATCTCTTGCTCCTTTGAAATAGGAAACTTGCATGCATCTTAGATTTTTGTTGCTACAATATTAATTAAAACGGTTGTTACTGGGTGTGAGGAAGCAATCTCAAATCTTTAGTATTGCATTCAGTTTTGGCTATAAAGCCAGAGAAGCTGAGGTCTGCTAAAGGTATTTTAGCTAGTTTCAAAGCCATCTTGTCAATACACAAGCATTACACCTGGAGTATCATCATACAGAAGAATACTAGTCATTTACATTTCTTTTCTCTATTCCTTCAGCTCAGCCTTACCTTCACTGAAAATGAGGGCTGACAAAGAGGTGATGGAACAAGAAGCATCTCTAATAGGACCTGAGGCTACATAGCTCCACACAAATACTTAAACCTAGAATCCGAGTCCCTTGATTTAGTCATATTGATTGAGTGCAGAAATAAAAGATGAAAATCTCAAGATGTGGCTTAATACAATATGAATGCCTGCTGGGATCCAAATGCAGTAGAAGGCTGTGGGGACCACAGCCATCACCCAGACACCGCAACTTGGGGATGCACTGGGGCAGCCACAGTTTCCTCCTACTGTGACACCAGTCACCCTGCCATGAGCTGCACCTTAAGGTACAGATGCTACCAGCTCTTGAGGGGGCTCTGTGAAGTGTAGCTTTTGATTCAGCATTTGAGAGCTTCTAGGTTGATTTTTCAGTTTCCTCCCCATCCCACAAGCTTATGAAATACAAGCTTTCATATTCAAGCCTTGTTTAGGAACTACCATACCAAACAGCCTAAAGACCCAAGCAGAAAGGAGATCAACATATCAGAGTAAAAAAAGATGAGATTCTTATGGAATAATAAATATGGGATTCTTATTGCCACTTTGCAGCATGGGCCTCAGCAATTCCAGTCTTCCACCAATTCAGCAATCTTCCTGAAAAGCCTGCCAATATTTCATTTTCTTTCAGTTATCTACTTTTCAAAGTGATATACTTTTCCAGTTGTACTTTACCTTTATAGACCTTTACCAATGTTGAAATAAAACATCCTGGCAAGAAAGGCAATGTTCGAAGTCTGGAGATGTCATCACAGACTATCAAATAAAATACCCCAGGGCTCCAAGAAAAATTGAATACCTTCCCACTCAGAAGAAAACAAGAGTTTTATCCCCCTCCCCCCATACCAACTTCATTAATTAACAAAGTATATGCATTATTTACATGTAAACAATTGGTGCAAGAGCAACCTCAGCTTCAGGCAACATGGGAAGATTCAGGCAACATGGGAAGGGTGGAGCACCACCACCCCTTCACATGGGCTACTCCAGAAGTCACCAGTTTAGAAGCATTCAGCATACACTCTGCCAGCATGCAGTGGAATATACATGTGCCAGAACGCTCAGAGAAGGAATCCCCTTGTATGTCAAGAAAACTGCAACCAAATTGTAACACACTAGAGAGGAAGCCGTATCTTGTATTCTCTTGATCATCTCAGGATATGAAGGAACGCAGGGTTGAACCTGCCTGTGTAGTGTAGAAGAGCAGAACTTGTACAGTGCATTATATTATCAGATGTGCAGTAAATTACTTAGAACAAAATTCCTTAAACTGTTAATCAACTACTATCTTTCTCTGCCTCAAAAGGTAAACCCTGGATATATACTATCTGAACAGGAAGAACACCACAGCCTTAGATTAGTTGAAAAGTTAAGTAAGCTCTGACCCTCTTATTTGTCCACTTGCCCTGCATCACAATCATATTCTAGATTATTTCCTAAACATGATAACACATTAAATATTTGCGTGCATAATAATTTGTTGGCTGCATCATGTACCTGTTCTATACACTCACTGCAGCATACCACACTAAGTAAATAGCAGCAATGAAACTCACTGGCATCAGGAAGAAAAGCCCAAAGACAAGCTAGCATGAGCTAGCACTCAATTGCTTGCAATTGTGCTGTCCTCTAAAACATAATTAGACAATAGAAAGAACCAGATTCCTATACAGTTTTGAATAAGTTGGGATTAAACTATTTTGCTTCAATAGGTTGGTTCCTCCGCCTGAGAAAAACAATAGTCACTAGATAAGAGACACGATCAGTCTTCATTTATAGGTTGAATTCTGCTTTTAAATACAGTCTCAGCAAGAGGCACATTTCTTTGTGCTGGAAGACAGAGAAAGCCATGTACTAAAAGGAAATGCTAACACTTGGCTTGAAACAGTCCCTGTTTTGGAAATGCTTAGGGACTGGGAGAAGCGCATACCAGTGGTTCTGATGCACTTAGACAAGAGCTAAAGAAGTACCTTATTCACCCTCTTCCTTGCACATCACAGTCATACTCAGAAGGACAGCAGCCTGTTTGCACAAGTTCAGTCCTGCTGTTTTTCAGAGAGCTGAGAAACAGAAAAGGATGTGGGGAGAAAATCAAGTTTAGGATGTTGTTTCTTGTTTAGTGGGTGACATTGGTAGTAAGGGGATGGTTGGACCAGATGATCCCGGAGGTCTCTTCCAACCTTACTAATTCTATAATTCTCAGCTATTTTGTACTACCAGTTGTGTAAGTCACTCAGCTACACTGGAGGTGAATTCTGTGCTGAGCCACTGGGATTTGGGAAAAAAAATCTTTAAATAAATTGTGTAAGTTACTGTGATGTATTTTGACCTTTTGCAATTCACAATTTACAGACATGTTCCTGACAAGGGGGAAGAGGAAAAAATGTTGCTTTTCTACCCTGAGAAACAGTTGTAAAATCATAGAATATCCTGAGTTGGAAGGGACCCTTAAGGATCATCAAGTCCAACTCTTAACACCGCACAGGTCTACCCAAAAGTTCAGACCATGTGACTAAGTGCACAGTCCAATCTCTTCTTAAATTCAGACAGGCTCGGTGCAGTGACCGCTTCCCTGGGGAGCCTGTTCCAGTGTGCAACCACCCTCTCTGTGAAGAACCCTCCTCCTGATGTCAAGCTTAGATTTCCCCTGCCTCAGCTTAATACCTATACCATAGAGCTTACAAATGGCAAAACCATGACTAATAAGACTAGGTCTGAAGAATAAAAAATTTCTCATTCATAATTTCTATCAGATGTCAAACCCCATTCTAAAACGTATTTAAAAAGATTCAGACATAGTTAGGGTAGCTTGCGCAGTCAAATTGAAAATTTTGCAAGGGAGGAACGAAGTTGTTTTATATTCACTTAAAAAATATATATGTATCAAACTGAGGCTATTGGTTTTAATATTAGAACAGAAGCCCTGGGAACCTAGCCCTCAATTATGATCAGAGGGTAAGTGTTGTACATGGCCATTAGCAAACCACCTGAGTTCCTGAGTTCTCTGCCTCATTTTGCTTGTATTTAAAACAGGAGCAATTAGAGCATTTCTGAGAGATACTGCAAAATGCACTTAATGATGCTTAATTTAGTTAATGAATTAATCAAGATTCACTTAATGAAGCATAACTGATAGTTAAATAACTTTCTGGTACTTGAAAATCTCTGCTGTTATGAGGTAATGTTATTCTAATTGTTAATGATAATTTCTCTTCCAGTTTGTTTTAAAATACCAAAAAACTATTCAGCCAAGTCCAGTACTATTGTTGAAAATCAGCACTACTTCTGCAGTGTTGACTTTCTGATATATTACCTGGGTAGTTGTTAAAACTGTACTACATGTGTGTTGTGCCCCGGAACAGATACTCTAATATGATTTAATATCGTATTTGAATTACACCTGCTTGGAATTTCAAGCTAGCTTTTAGCACTGAAAAAAATAGTAATTGTAAAGAACTTTGGGCACTGGTGGTAAATCTTCCAAAACAGCTTCCAAAACTAGCCATGTTTTGTTGGAGAAGTATGTTATTCTAACACCCCCAAAATTGAAAGCATGGAGATGTTACATACAACTTCCAAGTTACACTGTTACTGTCAAGACTGCTTATAGTCTTGACAGTAACAGTGTAACTTGGAAGTTGTAGGAAACTTGGAGGTTGAAAGAAAGCCCAAAGCTGAGATAAGGGCATAGAAGTTTCAGAAGCAGAGATTTTGGTACAGAGCTCTGCGAAGCCCCACCTCTCATAAAGGCTGTTCCTCATACAACAGTCACTAGTAGCACGCGATCCTCTCTCAGTGTAAGATCAGCTCCCTGAGGTTGTAAACTATTATTTCACTAGTCTAGCTTTGATTTTTGCTGCCTCAGACTTGCTCAAAGATATTTCTTTCATCCAGCTTCTCTGCATGTGCTTATTCACATGTCTAAGACTTTGTTTGGACAGGTCATCTCTAAAACCCATGACCATTCTGCTCTGATTCTGTATTAATAAGTAAAATAAATAATCAATCAGTAGAATACTTACTTTGGAAGTTACATTTCCTTATTCAGAAGTTTTTGCCAGCCAAGTGGGAAAAAAAGAAAACTTACTCAAAAACCATATCTGTTAACTTTTGTTGTCCCACGTCCCTCCCCCCATTAGAAATGGGCCACCCAGGGAAATGACAGAAGGCTCCTGTGGTTTGCACCCTTTGCCTCAATCAGCTATGAGAAGTTTTTTCAATTTTCTTCTGCTTAGCTTTTCTTTGGCCTTCCATACTGGAAATTGCAGCTACTGCTGCACCATCCTGGGTATGATCTCAGGATCCCACGGCCCTGCTCCACCCACACAGCTCTACAGCAGCCTGTAGTCTAATGGGAGAACATATTAAATCTGATCATATGCAACAAGAGTCCTAAGCCCAGGTTTTTGACCCCACAAAAATGTGCCTTTCTATTAAGAGGCCACTGATGGCTCAGAGGCATAGGAAATCACAGCTGTGAGGGTTCCTCCTGCCATTGCCATTTAGGTATGTGCCTGAGACTGCAGGTACCACTGCAAGCAAGAACACGTGAGCACTGCCAATGCACTGATCAACACACTACCAAATTCATACTAGTCCCAGAATTAAAGGAATAGGAACATGAAGGGGAGAAACCACAAAAACATTAGGAGGTGCTTTTATCTACTAATTTTTGGGCAGCAACAGGAAAGTCTTGGGCTAAGTATTTCTTCCTGTATCAGGGTTCAATCTGCAAATTTTGTTTATCTTTAACACCCAGTGGACACAGATATTGACATCTTGGATCAAAAGGCAACTTTAGTAGATCTGCATAGGCATGGAGTGAATAAAGTTGCAAAACCTGATGACAGAAAAGATGAAATTTGATGTTTTTAATATCCATTTACATTTATAACATCTAACATATAAAAGGGACCAAAAACACCCCATAAATCTTCAAAGCCGACAGCATAATTGAAAAGGAAAATAGTCCAGTCATCTAAAGATATTCTGCAACTATAATTGCTTGAATCATGCTTAAGTTAAGTTTTATTTCTTTAAGGACTGTATGCTACTTGCATTTCTACTTCTGCTAAAGGCAGGAGTTTCTGGCCTTATCTAACTGTCCACTACGGTTTCAGTTAGCAAAATTAAAGCTGACCATACCAGTACAAGTATTTAATTTTTATAGCTCAACCCGAGCTTCTAATTAATTATATAAACCCTAGGAAATGGTGTAATCCTAAGCTTCCTAACAATTTGAACAGACATGACATAACACAACGAAATATTACCTTGTGTAACCTGTATGGAAGCATTCCAAAGGTCTGCTTTCTTTAGGTCATATCCTTTTTTAAAAAAAAGGAAAAAGCTTGATATGCATCAGCAAGCTTGCAGGTAATTGTTATGAGACAAGCAGTTAAAACAATAACTGTAAAATATTCTAATCATACCATGGATTATATAGAAGGTTGGGAGAGTACAATGGAGATCCAATGACAAACTGGTTCATGCAACTCCACCTAAAAGCATGACACACAACTAGAGAAGAATTTTCCACTTGTTGTCAAACAATTTCTTAGACTTTCATTGGCCCAATACAGAGCTCTAGAGATATAGTTCAGCTATCATTTAATTAGTTCTTCACATCTGGACCTTTCTTCTATTCTTACTCTACAGAGCTCTAATCAATAAAGTCAACCAAGAAAATCAAACTCTAGTCTAAAAGAGATGTTGAAAGCTTCCTATAGAAAGCAGCTCTTTGACATTTTCCAGGGTGATCTAGATGATCCAGAAGGCACAAAATAACAACTTAAAGCTATTTGACTATACTTGCTCAAAAACAGAAATATAGACTTGAGATGACAAAGAATTTCCTTTCCATTTCCATAGAATTAGATACAAAAATATCCCCTCCTCAAAATGCAGTAATATTTAGTTATTCGGAATATATTTCACTGTATTAACAAGAATCTCTACTTTAGACTTAATTTTCATTCAATTCCATCCTCTCCCAAACAAACATCACGCACTACCAAAACTGTGATCATCAATAGACTTGAGCCATGGAAGAGCCCCTTAGTAAGTTCTCACATTCAATAGAACTTATTAATGAATCTGTACACAGTGACCTCAGAACTCAGCCTTGTATTAAATACATCCAGCTTGTAAGATGCAAAGTCAATACATTTACAGGCTGTTCAAAGTGTGCAGTTAATCCACTCCTCAAAAGATTCTCAGACAATATTGCAGAATGGAAACATCAAAATATTAGTGCCTTCTGGCAACATAGTTCTCTTTTTTTTTTTTTAATTCCACTAAAAATCACAAGTCACTGGGCTAAACAAGCACAATGGATAATACAGCTCAAAAGAATTTCTTTTTTGCACACAGATGAATGACATACAGAATCACAGAAAACAGGATTGAAAGAGACTTGAGCATTTTGATTGTGGTGCACCCAGCTTTCCTTTCAGGCACAGTAAACTTTCACATAAATAATGAATATCTAATAGGTTCCTGAAGGTCTCCCGTAGAAGCTTCACAACCCAGCATTCATTCCAATACCTCACTACTCCTGGCATTAGGAAAAGCTTTGTAATGAAGGTTAACCAAGAGCTCCCCTCCTACTGTTTTAGCCCCTTAGACCTAATAAACACCAAGTAATTAATAATTTATTTCTTCAAAACTTCTGCATAAGTGTGGAGGTTGATTGCATCTCCCCTCCGCATTTTCTTCACTCAAACACAGTCTCCTTTATCTTTCAAAGGTCACATTTTATTTTTTATGCTGTATTCTAAACATTTTTTCCCAAAATTCACTGCTCAAAGCAAATCACAGTGGTTCAGATGAAACTAAGAGTCATGGATGGAGTGGATTACTTTACATCTGCTACAAAGGATACACCAACTTAACCATCCCCATTTGTATTTTATTTTTTAGAAGAAAAAAAAAAAAGTCACATTGACCACCATTTGTATCCACCAGAAGCCTTAGCAACATTTTTAAACAATTTTTTTCCCCTAAAGAATAACTATAAATAACTATCCCTGTTATCTATGTCAGGCAAGAAGAGCTTATAAAACACTTACCTCTTTCAGTATTTGCTTTTTGAGGCATCCCCACTCTCATCCTCCTCTTGTCCTCTTCTGCAACTCCTGAGTGTCAACAGAATGACTGCCCCTGAAATGATAAAGCAAAAACAGAAAACACTTTTATTCTCATTCACATATCCCTACTTTTAATCAACATGCTGCTTACAGCACCCTGTAATCTTGCCCACACTTTGTCGGTTCATTTTACAGCTTTAAGCTCCTCAAGGCAAAGCAGCGGAGTATCTTGTTTTCTTACAATCATGTACTATGGCTCCTATAGTGGCTTGACCACTAATTGAAGCTGTAGCTTCCTGTTGTCATGGAAGTAATGTAGTACAATCCGTCTACATCCAAGTTGCTTTCATTTGCTACACATGGTACAAACACAACTATTGCAAGTTGTAAGCCCATACAGAAGCTAGTTCCTATGAATTTGAAACAAATGCTTTGGAGCACAATTTTATAAGGAATCAGCAATTTCTTGTTAATTAAGTAAACTGAAGCAGAAATAGAGAATATGTATTGCACTTTAAAAAAAATCTGCACTGCACCAGCAACACTTCTTCCATGCACAAATCATTTCTATCTAGCACAGATCAAATACATTTTATCCGCTACACTAATAGAATGACTTCACTCTCCTCTTATGCCCTAATCTAAATATTTAAGTGACTATTTGGTTAAGTGTATTTTTATCCTTTATCAGAATAATACATGGAGGGGAAAAAAAAAGACCGCCTACTTAGATTTTTATTTTTTTGGAGACCCAAACCCCCTCCATTTCCTAGTAAGCTTGTTGCATCATGTAGAACTACCCTCCCGTAAATGAGGCCTCAAGCTTGACTCATCATCTTGGCAATGTTTTCAGGTGCAGAAAGAGAGTCTTGCAATTCAAATCTGAGCTCAAAGCCTTAGAAGAACATTTCCTGCATGTTTGTTGTTTTTTTTTTCTCTGTCAGTCCATGCTTTTGACAAACATACATTCTGATTTATTTGTTAGCACTCCCAAGGTGATAAGCAAAATGGTAGAAAGTTATCACACATAATTAGTACAAATATTTTGCCTAAAGCATAAAAGAAAAATCTGCAAAATTTGTCACTCATACCACACCTTAGAGCTTGTGACAACAATGAATTAGATTTAGACTTGCTTTGTAAAAAACAAGTTGTGGGATGACAAAAAATACTCAGCATTATCATCTATATAGCTCATAATAATAACAACACTACGATATAGTGATGTGATTTCTTTTTTCGAGCCGTAAATTAAACACTACTCCAGCCTTTGAAAAGTCAAAAGCACCTTCTATTGACACAGCTAGAGAATACAGTATCTTTCACTTCATAGCAGCACTTAGTAAAGCTTTTCAGTGTAGGTGAATAATTATGCATGTGGATCTCTCCTCCAAGAATCTCAGGCAAATCAAATGTCTGTTTCTCAGCCCATTCTGAAATCAGCATTTTAGCCAGCTTGAATAGGTAAAATAAGCTCCAGAGGTTTAGTGGTTTGCCCAAGATCACGCAGAGCTGATGGCAGCACTGGCGCATACTCAGTGTTCTTGGAGTACTTGTACCCTCCTGTTCTAACCACAGGACCACACACCCATATCACCCCATAAACCTGCTGCAGTCAGAAAACACGATTTTAATAAAAACATTTTCAGAATAAGCTCATGTGTCCCCATTTGAAGAATAAATACCACAGCCCAGAACAGCTGCAGAACTCCATTAAATTTTTTGCTGTCAGATTAAGAGTTGTGACTACAATTTTTAGGCTCTTTGCATTATTGCTAAAGATGAAATAACTGGAAATCAATTTTTCCATTCAGATATTTAACTACCTACTACATTTGAACATGCAGGCAATAATGGAGACACCAGAGCAAATGAGCTGCTGGGGGTGGTGGGGATGCAGAACTATTTTACCCGAGTTACTTCATACAGCTTTGATTTCAGTGTTTCTGCTCCAGCATTTTTGAATTTATTTTGCCTTTCACTTACATGGGTGTTTCACAATCAGCAGTGGAATAAAAAACTACAAAGTTTTATTTTTAAATTAGAACTTATTTTAAAATCAAATACACGTGCAGGGAATAGTCAGAATACTGACAGTATCCTCTATTTAAGATCTTAGGCTAGGTTCTTTTTTTTTTTTTTTTTTTGTGAACAGAGTGGAAACAGTATTTCTTCATAGAATACTTGAGTTAGGATTTCACTGAAAGGATAGAGGCCATCAGAGGCCCTGAAATCTTATTACATATGCCTTCATGAAATTGCAAAATATTATGTTTTTAGTAATCTTTAGGGTCATTCTTTCCCCTGTCTAAAGGCCTAAACTAGGCATCATTTAAATCCTACTTAAGACATTAAAACAGTATTTAAGTTGGATTTTAGCGACCAATAGGACTTATGTGGGTCTTTTAAACCAGAAATTTAATCTCTAGTTCCCAGCAGCATATCAGAACAAGCCCACCACATTTTTTCTACACTTTCCCTCTGAGTACAGAAATATAAAATGTACAGGGAGTGAAAGCAACTGTTATTTCCACAGCTATTACTTCACTGTCCAGACAACTAGTTTATCTGGTTATTTCCAGTCTGTTCCAACACATTCATCAAATAAAGGAAAGAAAGCCATAAAACATAAGAAACCCAGCCTCAAACTGCAGCACCCTAGCAGGGCATTTTCTTAATGGAAGATGTAATATCAACAATTAAGGAAAACAAATAATTAAACCTCTAATATAATCTGTACTCTTAAAAATTGGCTTCATGTGCAAAGAAAGGTGGGAGCACTCTTGACAGTATGGTTGTCACATTTGTTCACCCAGGCCGTCTGCTTCTGGTATCTATGAATTATTTTCTGTAAAGTAAAGGTTACCAGGGACCAACAAGAACCTTACTGGGCCAGGTTTGTACACAACCAGTAGTAAATGCACTCTATAATAAGTGTTTTAGTTAACTGAACAATGAAACGTGGTCATGAGTTTCTATCTTAACGTAATACTTAGCCGCCCTTCCTCGTCGTTTTGCTGTTTGTACATTAGAAAACAAAGAGCAAAACAGATAGAAATTACATGCAAGTTGTATGTGCTCAACAGTATGGGGAACAGGGAACCTAACTTTCACATAACGAATTGAGAATAAGTTTAGCTTGTGTATGTAAAGCAATCTGTTCTTGGATATTCTTGCACCAGCCGAGGGTCAGCTTTGTTTATAACATGACCACCCACCCTCGCTACAGGCTAAATCTTACATAAACAAACCCAGACAGTAGGATTAAAGGATAAACATAACTAATGCTTAAATCCAGAGTTTATGATGAATGAAGAAGAGCCAGAGCACAAAACACCACAGTAAAACAAAACAGCAAAAAAAGCACCATGCACATACCTTTACTTCCCAGCCTGTCCAAAACATGTTTTGTTTTAAAAACTGACCTAAGTTTAATTCAGCTGATTTCTTAACTTGCATTAGTTTTTTTTCCCTTATTAGGATCACATTATCAAAATAAAGCTATAGAGAGAAATATTGCTAATAGTAAATGAACACCTATGAGAACCTGCAACTCTACAGCTTCTTCATTCAAGACCGTGCAAGGAAAATCATTCTGATATTTGATGAGAACAGTGAAATGACCACTGTCACTGCAAGGCACACGGCAAATGTAGGCTTCCCTCCCCCCCCCCCCCCCAATTCAAATATAGAAGATATTTCAGATTGTATTGCAGCATTCAGTTTAGGAAAAAACACCTTACCAAGTAGGAATACTAAACAAAGTCAAAACAGTGAAACCTAGAAAAGTATGAAAAAGAAGAAGAGTATGATGTGAGCAACACAATTTTGATTACTTCCAAACTATTATGGTTGGTGTTGTCATGAAAAAGGATATTAAAGAACACGTTACATCTTGCCTTCAGAAATTAAATAACCTAAATCAGAGTCATTCAGGATTTTAAAAAGATTTCAGTATTTTTATAAAAATTATTAACATATCCGAGTACAAATGACAGACAACATTTGTAGTGACAGAATTACATTTGACCATCATGTTAATTATCTTATTATCAAATGTTTGTTTGCTTATGTTGATGAAAATCACTTTTGTCACTGCAAAATCTACTTTCAAGTTCCCACTTCTCAAAGTAGTGTGAACTGCTCCAAGACAGCACTTAAGTCACAGAACTGCCAAGTTTCACAAGAAAAATCATGTAATTCTTTATCCACTTTCCAAAATAAAGGATGGGGTACAACTTTGTCAATTATCAATTTATGGAGCTCATTTTCTCTTAGACTGACAAACACCAGGAAGCATAATATGAATGTCTACACAGATATAATTTAGTATTTGAGAAAATAGTACGGAAAAATAGTTTTGTTTTACAAAACTAACTAGCCTATTTGTGACTTCCATGGTAAAAGATGGTGAATCAACCTCATCAAAAAAAACAAAAAAAAAAACATACAACACACATACTGGAGAGTGGATTAAAAACTTCCCATGACATTTTGGGAAAAAGTCAAAGCCCCAGCATGAGGAAGAGGTCCTGGTTCTAAGAGCTCTGTGACAACTTCTGAAAGTTTGGAAAAAAAGATCTGCACATTCAAATTTTTTCTACTTTCCCTTCCAGGGTAAGTATTGAACTAAAGCAATTTTTAACTGACTAAAAAGTCAGTGCCTATTTCAGATATGATGTATTAAATCTGGAAAAGCATTTTTAATAAATTAACAGAAAAGAAAAAAGAATGCAGTAATAGGATAGTGCCTCTGCATTTGCCTGTCTGAAGTCAATTTAAAGTGTTGCATATGCAGGCTGAGATTAGGCTTTTTTTCCTCCCTGAAATTCCTTTTGATATTGATTTTCGCGCAAAGAAATTGGGAGCAGGGTTTTTTCATAACTCTTCTGAACACACTGACGTTCAGAATGCATTAGCATGTCAGAAAGATTTAGTGATGAGGAGTTCCTTCAGAAAAACTATGACCTAAATAAAGTGATAGTGAGGACTGTAGCCAACTGATAGGTGTAGTTGTAGTCACTTACACAGCAGTGTTCACTTATACATTTCAGGTGTCTAGGGCCACATCAG